ATGTAAGGTCAAGTATCATGTCCTGTTCTTGTGCCGTGCCAATTCTTGTAGCTCGTATAGTATCGCTGAGTAGCACGAAATGCTGGTCGTTTGGGTGGTTGTCTAATTTGCTTCCTAGTGAAATCGTTTGACCATATCCCCATGCTGGGTGGTTACTGTTGAAGTTTCCCAGCAGAAGTGTAGAATGCTGTCTACTAGGGCTGGCTCGTAAAAAGGCGAGTTGTACTATGGTTCAGGCTTGTTAGTTTGGTGTTCAGTAGCAGTTATAAATATCGATTGCCTGCCCATCGATGTCTGATGGCGTAGCAACCTGCTGTGCGGTGTGGCCGTTCATGTGCGTCGTCTCTACTTTGATGGTTGGGTTAGATTTTCTTATGTACGTGGTCGCCATGGCTGGGATGTTGGGTACGGCTGTTCCTCGTTGCTTTTGCTGAATACTCGGCTCCACGAAGCAGTCGTAGCCGCGCATTGTAAGGGTTCCCCGGAGTTCTTGGAGAACCGTGATGTCGGATTTTGTTTTGCATGTGCTGCAGTAAGTGTTGTTGTTGTTGTTGTTGTTGTTGTTGTTGTTGTTGTTGTCGTTGTTGTTGTTGTTGTCGTTGTTGTTGTTGCTGTTGTTGTTGTTGTTGTTGTTGTTGTTGTTGTTGTTGTTGTTGTTGTTGTTGTTGTTGTTGTTGTTGTTGTTGTTGTTGTTGTTGTTTGTTGTCGTTGTTGTTGTTTTTCTGAAGCGGGTCTCTACAGTTCCATTGCCAGATTGTGAGGTGTCTGTGGTGTTGTGTTTTGATGTGGTGCTTTTGTGTAGAGTTAGTTGCCAGTCTCGTGTTCTATGGGTTGTATAGCGGGGCGTTTGTGCGGTGGCGTATTCTCTTCTTGGTCTTGAACTCAATGTTGAAAAGCTTCATATTTTTGTATGAAGGGGGCCAGTGTTGTGTTTATGATGCATGTAAGCTGCTCCTCGAACATTCGTTCAAGAGCCTGCGGTACTGTTTGTTGAATTGATTGTTCGAGCTAGGTAATGAAGTTTTCTGAGTAGCGGATGAAAAAAAAATATGGGGGAGCGGGCGGTGGGGGGGAGGAGGTTGGTATGGGGGCGGGAGGTGCAAGAGCCGAACCGCTCACCGATTCTCTCGTGGTTGTCTGCGATGGATGATGTCCGGGGATCGGTAGAGGCGGCCATTTCATCTGCGAGGCTGCTGGGATTGGGGTCCTCGTTGCTTTGGAGGAATGGTGCTGGAAAGCGCTCGTCTACTGGCTTTCTTCATGGCCGATACATTGTTTGGTAAATGTGACGTTGGCTTTTAAAAGAGCACTACAGTGCTTTTTGAGCTCCTTGTTTTAGTGTTATAACTCGATCTACGAGCTCTAAGCATCCTAAAAAAATACATTCATGTGCGGCCGATTTGTGTATTAAAAAAAGTGAAAGCCGTTTACAATTTGTAAGGAGGGAAGGGTACTGAGGGTCACGTGTTCTCAGAGGGGTCACGTGACCCCCAGAGAATTTTTTCGCTAGATTTAGCGGGGAATTTTGCCCATAATGCGCCGCGCGGTTACGCTGACGGCGACGGCGACGCCGCTCAAGCCGGAAACGGGCGCCTAAAGGCACGACCACATTGGCGTTTCGGAGGCCTGCGGCGCGACGGGTCGGTTGCCGGCGGAAACCAGTTTTCGGCTTCAACGTCACGACGTGCGGCGCCGCACACCCAACCGCTCCTTGCGCGGTTCAGAGCCCAACGCCGCACGCCGCAGAAGAGAGGAGCCAATGGGAGGTGGCGTAGATAGTGACGTCGCGATGCCATGGCAACGCTCAAGCCGGTCCTCGGCGCGTCTCGAAGCGAAGGACGTGTTTCGTGTCGTCTGCTCCCCCTATTTCCCCCCGATGCCTTCCCCAACGGAGCGGTTCCTTGAAACTAACCGCTGGGAAATTATAGGAGAGGAATTCGAATTACAAGTGAGTTTCTCCGTGGCACTTGTTGCATGTCGTCTCTGTTGTGACGGATGTCGTGTTTATTTGGTGACACTTTCGACAGTAGCCTTCATCTCTGGCGCGCCTCCGGGGCAGCAAAGCCACGGCGGCGCGCCAGACCTGTACTGTCCTTCGGTAGAACCAACTCGGCCGGACCCTAAACCTGCACCTCCTTCCCTTCAGAGCGTGGCGACGTCGCAAGATCAACGAGCATTTTTTTTAATTTGTTTTTTTTTTTTTTTGTTGTAATGGTATATAATGTTTAGTTTGTGTAAAAAATTCCTCAGATGGCATATGACAGAGAGGATATCCTACATGCTGGATTCTCCTTCTTTTATTTTTCATTTCTTTTTTTCTTATGTTGAAATGTTTTAAAAAGATGAGAAAGAAAGTAAGTCGTGAGTCAGCGCTGTGTCTGTGTCCCTCCTTCTACTTGTCCTTGTGTTTGTTTGCGCTGTTTTATTTCTATGTTTACAATGCATCACCGACTAGCCCACCTCCAAACATTACTGCATTATGAACTCCTACCGTCTAGACAGCGAGTGCGGAACGGAAGAATCTAACGAAGAGCAGACGACGAAAGAGCGGGAAATCCGACGGGAGGCGCGATCGCGGGATCTAGTGCTGTCACGTGACGCCTGCAAAACGGAGGCCAATGTGGACTCCTCGCGTTGGGACGCCGGACGGCGGTGCCGCCCGGCGGCGCCACCCGGCGGCGCCGTTCACGCTAGTGTGGTCGGGCCTTAAGAGCTGCGCTCTAAAAGTGATCAAAGTTTCCGACACTTACCGTTGGCACAGAACAACAGATGGCGCTACCGAACCCTGCTGAATATGGTCGAACGACGGACGGCGCTTGTCAGCCACTCGCGACCGAAGGAGCGGCCGACCAGTCCCGCTCGTCCACGGGGGAATCCATCCCTCGCGAGGGGCTGACAAGCGCAGGCCGCCGTTCGATCATATTGTCTCGAATGACAATTGATGACGCGACGAAAACTGAAGCAGACGAAACGTTTAATGGGGCGAGCTTGTGCCCAAAACAAAATAGATAAAGGCTAGCGCCGCAGGCGTCGATGTCGGCGAAACAGCAGGATCGAGCTCCGGGGCGAGACTAACTGCGGCTTCCCACGCGGAGCACCTTTTGTAGCCGCGTGGGTTTCTAGAAGGTTCGGCCTAGAACGTTCGGCGCGTAGAACATTCGTAACTCGATCAGACGAGAAAGTTCTGGAATTTGCGACAAGGCCAAGTAAAAGAATAGACACACGAGCATTCCGCTCCCTGGAATCGAACCCAGATCCTCCGCGCACACCCAAGCACGGGAATCATTCGCCCACGTACGCGCTCGCTCAGCGACGCGCGTGACATTGTCTCCCCCTTTTAAATGCGCATTGTCTCGATGCGACGTGCCAGAAAACAAAGCAGCAAAACAAACAAAAATAATGGCAAACTACGGAGGCTCGTAAAACACTGTCCTATCGAGCGTAGTACGAAAACACAGTTCAGTCCTATCGAGCGTAGTACCGCTTGAGGCGCACGACCTGGACGACTTCCGGTTGCGGAGGGCGACGTGATGAAGTCCGTGTTCCGTCGGACATCACCTCGTAGTTCAGGACCCGAGTCGACGAAGCACCTTGTAGGGTCCAAAGTACCGTTTTAAAAGCTTCTCGCTGAGACCGCGGCGGCGAATAGTGTCCACACCCAGACTTTGTCTCCGGGCTCAAAGTGGACGTCGCGACGACAAAGATTGTAGCGACCAGCGTCGACACGTTGATGGTCTTGGATCTGAACTCGGGCTAGCTGGAATACTTCTTCTGCTCATTGCGCAACTACCTGGGTGTCGTCACTTCCGTTGCTGGCTCGTGAGGTAACACGGCGTTAAGCATCGTGGTCACCTTGCGACCTTGCACCAGCTGAAATAGTGCAACACCAGTGTTCTCTTGAACCGCTGTGTTGTAGGCGAACGTGACATACTGCAGGACCTCGTCCCAAGTCTTGTGTTCCACGTCGACGTACATCGACACCATGTCGGCGATGGTCTAGTTTAGGCGTTCCGTTAGCCCAGTAGTGTGAAGATGGTACGCCGTGGTCAGGAGTGTCCCCAGGAACCGAAATTAGGGGGGTGTCTAAACTTTTAGAGGTGCAGGAGGGGGGGGGGGGGGGGGTTAGGGAGGGGGGCAATTGAGAATAGAGGAGTCGTTGCGAATTAAGGGGGTGCCTTCAGAAAAACAAGAGGAGGGGGTGTACACCCTCTTAAGGGGGGTGTAGGGAAATCACTGGCTAGGTTTCGCCGGCGGTTGGTGTGGCTGAGTCGGAGGGTCACTTGCATTAGCTGTGACATGAACGATGACCCGCAATCTGTAATCAGAACTTCGAGAGCGTCGTGCCGGAGGATGATGGGCTTGATTAAAAGCTTGACTACTTCCACACCAGTTCCTGAAGAAATGGGTTTTATTTCGGCGTACCGCGTGACATAATCTGTGGCGATGATTCTTCGGCGGTTTCCCGACGTTGACGGCCAAAAAGAGTCATGTAGATCCATTCCGATCTGCTGGAGAGATGCAGTTGGCAGAGGAATTGGCTGCAGGAGACCTGCCGGCTTCGTCGGCGGTTTCTTGCGTCGCTTGCCCTCGTGGCATGATCGTGTGTATGGGTGGACGGTTTTGGGGGCTTGGGCGGCCCCAAGCTCCCCAAAACCGTCCACCCATACACACGATCATGCCACGAGGGCAAGCGACGCAAGAAAAGTATTACTGGCCCAAGTTAGGCCAGTAATACTTTTCACGAATACGGGCGATTGTCCGGCTGTAACCAAAATGTCTGGACGTCTGGTCGTCGTGGCAGGCTTGAACGCTTTCCTTTCGAAGGTCGGTCGGGATTACCAGCAGCCACGGCGAGTTGTTGTCCCCTAAGTTCTCTTTACGAGCGGGCGGGCGGTCAAGCGGACGGGCGGGCAGGCAAGCGGGCGGGCCGGCGGCGGGCAAGTGGGTGGGCGGGAGGGAGGGAGGGAGCGGAGCGGAGTGAGTCTCCATTACACTATACATGGCATATACCACGTCATTTATTCGACAGGAACTGGTTACGTTTTGGTGGTACAGAAATATTCAACCCTGAACAATTTTAAAATACCAAACATTGGCACACGTATAACTTTACTTTGTATACGACTTGTTGGCAAAGAGTAAAATTGTAAACAGTACGGCGATCTTGACAGTAGTGACGGCAGATATGAGTGTCTTAACCTCGCCATTAAAAAATTCGATTTGCACGACACTTTGTTGACGATTTTTGATTGTATCACAAATCAAAAATCCTTCTGCGCACCAGCACCCTCTTTAAATAGGTACCAAAACCTCTCTGAAAAAGAAACAGCAGCAACATTGTTTCATAGACGCGCTCAGACAAGTTCTGGCATTCTCCCTCATTTAGGGTTGTAACGTCTGAATTCCTGCTCACTCCAATCTTCTGGTATCGTTCGGACTGATTGTTTGCTACCACGCCAGACGGGATAGACTTGAGCGGTGGAGACAACTAACACGATTTACTGGCAACGGTATCACGTACATTAAAGCGACGTAAATTAATGAAGTCATGCTCGCGATTGATCAACAAGCACTCAAGTGAGCAAAGCCACAATTGGAGTTACACTCTCGTTCGGGAAAGCTAGCTATACTGGGATGTCATGATTTGTTAAACACAGCGTCCTCAAAGTTTATATTTGACATCGTAAAGGCCGAGCTATGGAAAAGGATTGACGTAAATCCCCTGTGATTTGCTTCTTTGTACGAGAAACGTGAAGAACGCCATTGCAACCATTGACGCGTACCCCACGCAGTCCATGGAAGAACATTGCAGCACGCCACATAGTCACTGGCTGCTTAAGAAGCGCAAGGCGTGGCGAGTCCCCTGCATCGCATTATCGCTAGGCAGCCAATCAGAGCGCGGCATTGGCCGATAAGAACGCCCAAGGAGCAATCCCGAAACGAGAAGCGTAAACGTAGCACGCCACACCCTGCGTTTCTGTCAGTGACCCTATCTGACGCGGGCTATCAAAGTGCTACGTTTTTGCTGTTGACTTTTTTTAGAACTCGCTTGCCACACATGTCTCGCGCGGTCAGACGACATTACCTGCGCGTATGCGTGAAAAACGACAGTCGTACATTGAACAGAAAGGGTTCGACTATGATACGGTAGAACAGTAGAAACTAGGACTGTGTGCGCGTGATTGATTCTGTATAGTAGCGAGTTTTAGAATAGCGCGCCCAAAAATCTTTGCGCACACAAAAAGAAATAACGTCGTCGCCACATGCCAATCCAAAACGTGGTTTGGACTCGGCGCATGCGCAAAAGAGGTGACGACACTGTTTATTTGCGTACGCAATGCTTTTGGGTACGCTGTTTTAAAACTCGCTAGCATCACGTTCGTGAAAGCCTAGTCATCATACTTGTCGAACTTTGAGAAACGCGAAGAATGAACAGCTCGATCGCATTGATAATAATTTAGACGTGAGAAAGTATGTTTTGAAAGAAATGAGAGGCACCATAATGACAGTGTTACCATTCACTGCAACGAAATATTTCATCACTGGCTTCGCGACATCCACCGCCGCCTGGTGCACCGTCTGTACCTTGTTTTCTCAGGGACAGTTATACGATCGTGACCGCACCCGCGAGATACAAATTTGATCTGTAACGTCACTTGTGGAAAATCCATCGGCGCAGAAGATGCCTCGTGAGCGTGAGTAGACATAAAGGCACGAAGAGAGGAATGAACTAAAAAACACCCGCAGGCATATACGTAAAAAATTACCCCACATATGTGGAGAGTATAGGGTTTTGGGTTGACCATACACTGGACAACAACGCTCAACACTGTTGGAGAGCTGACGGTTCATATGTACAAAAAGCCAGCTCTTCCATCTGTACCAAGTAGCATGCAGCAGTAACACTTCACATGACTTCATTCGCACAGTAGCGCCATGTTTAAGGGACAGCCCTCTCGATCAAACACCGGCATTCGACAGCAAATGCGTTATTCGTGAGCGGTACACACGTTCCGGAAACTCCTTGCGCCGCAGCATGACGAGGAGACCACGACATGACGTAGCTGCGTCTCGGGCGTCAAACAGTTCACGGCGAAAGCCAATACGTGAATGCAGGTCAGGCTAAGTTCATGGAAGCAGCGGCACTGGAACTAAGGCGTGCCAGCACTCGAAGCTTTGCTCGGGAACCCTGATGACGTCCAGCCAGTGCTGGAGCTGCGCCGCCTTGCAGTGCAAGCCTAATTCCAGACCACCTGGGTAGATGCGTGAAGTGAAAACGGATATGCTTCAACCCTGAGCCCCTAGTATCAAGTTGTTGCAAGGACACCCTTATCGCAGTTAAGTCACCTTTAACTACTGTTACGCTTTCCCACAGTTGCCGCACTTTACCGGCACTATATAATTTCAGACAGCTATTTCAGAAGAAGTGAAGAGTGCGTGTGCACAGCTTTGATGAGCGTTCAAGATGCGCAAGCGCACTTGCGCCCAGAGGTTTGACTGCATAGCCTCAAAACGTTGTCCAAAAGTATAGTGTGGAAACTGTGGCTTAGCGTAACTGCAGTTGTGCCTGTATAAAACGGCATGTTTAGAGTATCTGCACTTCATTGCTCAAGTTTCTTGCGCGACGCCATTTTGGTGCTCACTGCACACCGAATGCAGCTGTCGATCGTTGCGATTCACAAATGCCACTTCCTGGGATTTAGGTGTATACGGTGTCGGGAAGATCAGTCAATAGTGTGTTTCGTCGCGAACTCATTAAAGATTGCACAATTAGGGAGGACGAAAGCCACAGTTCCTGCTATCACAAATGAAGATTCAAATAGCTGAAAACAATGGCCGTGTTCCAAAATTTACTCGATCTCACTCTAGGGTAAATGTTCTGTACTTTAGCATTCGAAATCTTACCCGCGTTCAGCGCTACTCTATCTGTCTTGTCACGTGACATGATCCACCGGAGTAGCTCGGATTCATTCGAGTATGATTTAGAACACAGCCAATGATTTTAAGCACGAAGATGACTGGGTTAGCTCATTCAGTGACATGTACTTCAAACCTCGTCGCGAGCCTTGCGTCCCGCGCCTCCAGCCGTTCATTTGGGAATGGGTCCTCCCTAACTATAGTGTCGTCGTCAAGCCAGGTATCTCATTTGTTGGCAAAGTGGTCATTTTTAGCGATATACCGTCCCTCATTTGTGTTGTATTACGATTTCTTGAATGCCGGAATTCTCTTTACGTAAGGCCTGTTTATGTTCCAGCGTAGTGTCCACGAGTCACGCTCACGCTCTCCAGGACACTCCCGTACTTGCGAGACAATACGAATGTTGGATTAACCTCTCTCGGCATGACACGGCCCCCGCCGGTAATCCGGCGAAGCAAACAGAGCCAAGCCATGGCTTTCCAGCATCGGCGATTTTGTGAGACCCTAGCTAACTTCATCTTGGTTTTAAAGGTGTTTATTGTGGTAGTGAAGTTAAGAATTGCGCGGGGTCGCTCAATGATGTTACGTTGGAGTGCAAACAAACCTAGGGTACAATAGGTTAAATGAATGGAGATCATACTCGTCTCTTTTCAGAACTCGAGCGTCCCAACCTGTATTTATTTTAAAGCGCAGCTCTTAGGCGCCCGTTTTCGGCTTGAGCGGCGTCGCCGTCGCCGTCGGCGTAACCGCGCGGTGCATTATGGGAAATGTCCCATAATGCACCGCGCGAGCCCCCCCCCCCCCCCCGGGTCACGTGACCTGGGGGGTCACGTGACCCTCCCCCCGAGGTCATGTGACCCCCAGGTCACGTGACACTTTCCCCGAGGTTACGTGACCTCCCCCACCCCGAGGTCTCGTGACCCCCCAAGGTCACATGCCCCCCCCGAGGTCACGTGACCCCCTCTCCCCGAGGTCACGTGCCCCCTCCCCGAGGTCACGTGGCCCCTCCCCCCGAGGTCACGTGACCCCCCTCCTCCCCAGGTCACGTGACCCCCCTCCCTCGAGGTCACGTAACCCCCTCCCCCCAGGTCAAGTAACCCCCCCCCCCCGGAGGACATTCAAGAATGAGGGGAGGAGGAGGATACGGAGGTGAGGAGGAGAAAGGAGGGGTGTACCCTCCCTTCAGTACCCTTCCAACCTCTTCCCCAAGAGCAATTTGGCGTTACAGGGAGTCGTAAACGGCTTTCACCTTTTAGAGCGCAGCTCTTAGGGGCCCGTTTCCGGCTTGAGCGGCGCCGGCGTCGGCGTCGCCGTCGCCGTCGGCGTAACCGCGCGGTGCATTATGGGTAAATTTCCCCGCTAAATCTAGCGGAAAAATTTCCCCGCTAGCGGAAAAATTTCCCCGCTAGCGGAAAAATTTCTCCGCTAAATCTAGCATAAAAATTTTCCCCGCTAGATCTAGCGGAAAAAATTCCCCGCTAAATCTAGCGGAAAAATTTTTCTGGGAGGTCACGTGACCCCCCAAGGTCACATGACCCCCCCCCTCCCGCCCCGAAAACAGGTAACCCTTAGTATCCTTCCCTCCTCCTCCTCAAGAGCTGCGCTCCAATTCGGTGTTACAGGGAGTTGTAAACGGCTTTCATTTTTTTAGAGCGCAGCTCTTAGGGGCCCGTTCCCGGCTTGAGCGGCGTCGGCGTCGGCGTCGGCGTCGCCGTCGGCGTCGGCGTCGCCGTCGGCGTCGGCGTCGGCGTAACCGCGAGGTCACGTGACCCCCCGAGGTCACGTGACCTCAGGAGGTCACCCCCACCAGGTCACGTGACCCCCCGAGGTCACTTGACCTCCTGAGGTCACGTGACCTGGTGGGGGATCACGTGACCTCCTGAAGTCACGTGACCACCTGAGGTCACGTGACCCCCTGAGGTCACGTGACCCCCTTGAGGTCACGTGAACTCAAGGAGTCGACTATCCCTCAGTACGCTTCCATCTTCCTCCTCAAGAGCTGCGCTCTAAACGGCGTTACAGGGAATTGTAAACGGCTTTCATTTTTTTATTTCATTTTTTAACAAGAAATATATACACAAGCTGCTTACTTTTATTTGAATCAGCAACAGACATTGATATTCATGAAAACAAAACCTTCTGTAGGCGCTGACAACTTAATAAACGCAGCGGGTCGTCCATATATCTATATTCTTCTTAAAGATATATTTATGTTGATATTACTATACAATCACCATTTGTGTTTCACGACCCCCCATTACGAGGTATGAAACCAAAACGATAGCATCGGCAGCATTCGCTCTCAATACGTACCTAGGTACTCATCAACCCTCCCTTGGTCTTTGTCCCAGACCGAAATCTGGAGGAACTTCTTTTCGAGGTTGTCGTTCTCTTTCAGCTCGAACGCAAACTCCTGAGACCAAAAGATGTCAAAAAAAAAAAAGAAGAGAAACCCACAGTTAGCCGCACCCGACAAGACTTGCTATAAGTCGGTGACAGCCTAAGAATTCAGTAGAAGCGGCCGCCTTTGGCAAGCACTCGTGGCCTTCCGTCAGGCTTTGACCGCACGAGTGACGAAGTGCTACCAGAGGCAGAAAGCTCGCGCTGCTGGAGGCGGAACATCTACTGAATTCTTAAAGTGTCATCGGGGACCGTTTATTTCCCACACAACTTACATCATTTGATTGAGGGCTGAGCATCTTTTTCACGGTGCTCGTTTCACAACTAGGCTGGCTCGCGTCTGGCTTCAGAGTTCTGCAATATGGCCAACAAAAAGACTTGATGTGAAGCGTTCATGAAATATTTTTTGAGGGTTGTGGCGAATGTTTTTTTGCCAAGACTCAGAGCGAGTTGTTCATACAAAGTCGTACTAATTCAAGTAAGAGATGTGTCCAGGACAAGTTAAAGGGGTTGTGAAAGGAGCCTTATCATGCTTTTGTTTCTTTTCGTCTTTTTTTAGGAAGAACATCGTCGTTCTCCTGGTCGTTTCTGCTCCACTGGCAGTCATGTTCGCAGTTGCAGTCCAACCTGCTGCTAAAGCCAATGCCGCCATTAGATACATAAAACTGGTTCACAATGTACCTTTTGTCTAACGGTGCAAAAAAATATAAAACACTTCTAGCATTATTCCTTCTTAGAGAATTCACAAAATACCTAATGAAATTTGTCCTTCAGTACACCCCGTTTCTGCACAAGGGCTGCAGAGTTTTTCCTTGCACGAGAGACGCTGTATTTAGGTCAGTATTGTCTAATTTCAGCTACTTATTATTTGCACTCTCCTATCCGCGACGGTTACACCAAAAAAACTTTACATAACGACAGGGCCTCCAACGAGAAATGCTTCTGGTGTAGTCGCTAAAGTTCCGAATAAATGAGTGAAAAAAAGCAATAATAAATTTATATTTGTCCTTTTCAATTCCTTGCATTCACCTCACTGCTTTACTCTTGTTTCCGTTTTCTATCAACGTCAGACATGTACGTAACACATTACTAGCTACGAGTTACTTCTACCTAGTTACTTTTTTTGATAACGAGATACCTATTTTTTTACTTAAAAAAAAACTAACAAGTAACGTACTTATTTACTTTGAAAGCTAAGTAACGGGTAACAGATTTCGTTACTTTTGAGGGGTAACGTGTACAACGCGGTTTAAACAGCCTCGTTTTATTTTCCAACCTTAGCATACCGTCTATTGCGACAAAGGCAGATGGGCAATCCGAAAAACAAGTAAACAGTATGACAGTATAGCAACGTCTATCGCTGAGCACATCAGTCGAACTCTACAGCTGGGTATGTCCTTCGCCTATAGAGAACGCAATAAGGTTCGTCGGCTGAACCTTCTGGAATTGTGTACAGACCGAATGTAAACCCGGAGTTTGCCAACACAGGAAGACAGAGAACCCATTGTCAACTTGGAACTTAAAAAGCAAAGAGAACAAAAAAAAAAGAGGGGGATCCCACATTAATCAGTTTCTTTCTGAAGCACAACACTGCCGTTCCTTCGCGCGCGTCAGTAGAACGACTCTTCAGCGTCGCCGGAGGTGTATTCTCAAGGAAGCGGGGAAAAAAACTGATGAAAAAAGAAAACAATAAACCATGAAACAAAAGCAGCTGCGTATTTGGTCGTCAAAGTAACGTCAAAAGTGACTAGATCTTTTTGCGGTAAAGAAACGCGTGCCTTTTGAGAGTCGTTAACGGGTAACGCATTTAGTTACGTTTTGAGCGACTAAAGAGTAACGGTATGTAGTTACATTTTTTGGCGTAGCGTGTACACGTCTGATCAACATACATCAACAAAGTCAGAGGAAAAAAGTAGTCCTAAATGCAAAGGGTCAAAAAAGCTAATAGTGGCTAGATTACAGCTCCGTGACATCCTCCGGCTTGAGCTCGTCCTTATTTAATCTATCAACTCCTAGTAAGGGAATACAGTACATATAAATATTTTCAGAAGTTCTGTCGGCTACGATTTGGCAAGGAGAGAACGGGCAGTACACTATTTCTCAGGGCGCAGCTCTATCTATCCGGCTTTCTTGAAAACTAAGACCGTGAGAAAGAATCCACTGCCAAAGGTAGCGCATGAGCGGGGTGGCACGGGAAGTCGAGTCTCAAGCAATCGCACGCCCCAGCCTTTGCAGTGCTTTCTTTCGCAGTCTTAGCTAAGACGTTCTTTCTATCAAGCCAACCCTGGCACTCGTCCGTCCCCCCGTTAGGCGCCCAATGAAGCGTGGGATCAAGTTTTGTTACATTCAATATAGTTCACACACACAAATAAAGAAATTTTAAAGTTTCGGGTTTATATTTTATGAGGGAAGGTACCAGCTGTGGTTCCGTCTAAATCGCTTCGGACACAGCGACGGTCGTCGTTCTAAAGGGGATCCGACTCACATGCGCACAAAGGGCCCCGTGCCGGCGGCGGCGTGTCGCAGCCGCACGCAGCGGAGCAGGCCCACGTGGAGTTCCCGGCGCCGCCTGCAGTGCATCAGCGAGACCAGGACGCGGGGCCGGTCTGCGCAAAGGGCGTCCCGGTCCTGCACATGGCACACACCACCCAACCACCGGGTCCGCCACGCTGTCCCCATATTCGGTCCATCCGCGCTTCGGTACGCCGTAACTCCGAGCAAATAATAACAAACAGGATAACTGGGCGAGTTGGTATGTATCCATAATGGACAGCGCGAATTTGTCTTGTCCAGTTCCTTCCTCTGTCCTTGTAAAATTCGCGCTGTTCCATTAGAAATAATAACACGCCCATTGTGCACTAAACACGTTTTGAAAAAAAAAATGGAGGTGGATAGTGTTTCATCTTGATGTGCTTAGAATTATCCGCGACATTATACCTGGTGTAGGTATGACAGCGCGTAACAACGAACACCAAGAAAAGGAACACACAACACAGGACAAGCACTGCTCCTTTTTTAGTCTTCGCTGTTATGCGATGTTACACCTCCACCATATTCAACTTCCACCAACCAGCCCAGCTCTCTACTTTGTGACATTAGACCCTTAGCTTATTACCATATGGTACTACTTTGAACTATCCGCAACGTCATTTATTTTCTTTCTCTCTCCTATAACTGAATGTATAGGGTGGAGAGGACCAACTGTTACACGGTGCCAGCCTAAATCCGGAGTTGCGCTGCTTATACATGATACCAGAGCCGTATATAGAGAGAGTTTGGTCAAGGGGAGGAGCGGGCAGAGTCAGGGCGTGCACCAGACGCAGAACGAAGGCTTCACATGTTCTCTTAACCAACCAATCCTGGCTCCGCCAATTTTTGGCTTTCGGCGGGTTCCTGAAAAACTTCAATTCTTTGATTCATTGGATTAAGTACGGTTCATTCATCTGCACATATTCGTTTATATCCTTCTCGGAGACCACATACGATGGTGTGAAGTGCCCGTGTTGTGTATATATATATATATATATATATATATATATATATATATATATATATATATATATATATATATATATATATATATATATATATGTGTGTGTGTGTGTGTGTGTGTGTGTGCGTGTGCGTACGTGCGTGTGCGCGTGCGCGTGTGCGTGTGCGTGTGCGTGTGTGTGTGTGTGTGCGCGTGTGTGTGTGTACTTTTTTGCGCGTGTTTTGAGCCCCGATCGAAACGATTTTGTATGTTCGAGACCCAAGAGCAAGAAGGCGGTCGAGCTGGAATTGTAAGCCAACATTTTAAAACCCTAAACTTTTGCATTAACAAAAACAAAACAAAAAAGACAAATACAAAGTCTTTATAGTCAGATCAGTGAACAAATATTGCACTCAGCTAGGTCAAATGAGCGCTGTTTGTATAGCATTCCCACATTACCCTCAACAGCCACCAACTTGACAACATATGTTCGCAAACAAGTACAGTAATGCCGAAGATTGCCACCTCAAAGCTGCCCTTGGTACGTCGGCGAAGAGTGTTGGTTGCTTTTCTGCCAGTGGTCACTGACAGGGTGAGGACGACAGGGAGGAGCTTCTATAGTCCCGCCTCTAGCGCTAGCTCCTTCCTGCCTTCGGCAACGCTTCGGCGTTTCGTGCATCTCAAGCGCGCGAGCGCGCAGACAAAGCACGAAGGAACGCGCGGACCCCGTGCTGTAGGCAAGGCGTTCAAAAGACACGCCGTGTCGTTCTCCTTTTGTCAGTGACTGTGGGGGGTATTCACTGGACGCCATATTTGAGGGCGATGTTTAGAGCGCTTGCTCAGAACGAGCTCTCATTACTAGGCTGCTAAGACCGGTAATCTTGATGGTGCGGAATGCACGTTGCAAAAGAACTGTGGAAGCTCGCCGTCCGCACGCGCTCATCAGTATCGCACACAGCTACGGCCTAAACTCTATCTATCCTTGCTCCCTTCTCTGATGGAGTATCGAAATGTATAAGCGGGCCCGATTCGCGGCAGATTGAATGCAGTCCAGCTCGCGCACGACCTTCTGGTCTTCAGCACGTCTCGTACCAGGCACTTGTCTAGGGCCACATTGAGCCAGCACATCTGGTTGGGCGTGAGGAGCGAAAGTGGCACCGTGGCCTCTCCCAACGGGTAGCTGCCGAACTGGTAGTCGTCCATGACGGTCAACCTGCGAGATTGCAAGCAGCATTGACACAAAGACGTATACTGTGAGCGATCGGGCCCGTGTTCCGGCTAAATTATTGTCGAGTTAATGACAAACTTCCGAGCGATTCTAACCAATATGTGACTGAAGAAAGCGAAGCATAACGAATTACAGCCGGCTTCCTGGCGGCGAATATTGAAACGCTGCCTCCTGCGCGCTGCCATCTTCGTCTGTCGGGCTGTAAAACGCGTTCCAAAAATGCACAGAAGCTTGCTTTTCCAGATTATCAGACAATGCACGTGCCTTCCCAGCCCAGTGACTCGGCAGTTTTCGCATGCGTAATAAAGACTGGAAAGGAGTATGCACGAGCATGCAAAAGGATACGGCGAGTCTAGTTCGGCCCACCTGAGTTTTCTTGCGTCGAGGGGTTCGTCAGCGTGAAACACGAGTGTTTCCCCGAACTCGGGGTTGATGGTCTTGTGCAGCGTTTTGGTCTGCTTTGTGTCCCCCTGAGTCGCAGTAAATGGAGAGAGAGAGAGAGAGAGAGACAAAGAGGGAGAAGAGAAAGTTGACTGCAGAAACCACTATTGTTGGTTGTCAATGAATTGCAATAGAATTGGTCATGAGACTCACAACGCAGCTCACTGTGAATACGGCAACAAAAATTTTGAGTTAACACTTTATTTTATGAATGGTTTACGACGCCTTAATTGACGTCATCGCAACTGCAGCGCGCTACTTCAAAATTGAGTGATTGCTTCGTTTCAGTGTAATCGTTTAATGTTCAAGCTGTTTCCCGACCATCATTGCAGCTTCGCGTGTGTGTCTGTCCTGTCTCTGTGCAATCGTTTAGTGTTCAAGCTGTTTCACTAACATCATTGAACATGTACCAACTAGTTCAACTCGAACCGATAATTGCTTCGTAGCTTGGGCTCAAATGTAAATGTGTGCGCACTGCCGCTCCCTGTATGCGCGACGCGGGTTTACCTGATTGCTAGGACGACGTCCTAGAGCACGGCGTCCTAGGGGACGACCTCAAAGACCCGTCTAGGACGACCTCGTGGACGACCTCACGGGGATCTCAAGGACAGCCTTTAGAGCGGTCTCAAGGACAGCCTCAAGGACGACGGCGAAAATGACGTCCTAGTGGATGAAGTTCGACGTCTAGAACGACCTCTAGGACGACCCCTAGGATGATCTCAAGGACGACCTCCAGGACGACCACAAGAACAAACTCTAGGACGACGTAAAAGACGACGTCTAGGACGACTTCTCGGACGACCTCTAGGAAGACGTCAAGCACGAGGTCCTCACACTTGCGGCGCCTGCGTATGTGAACGTCGTGCGTATGCGGACGTATTGAGGTATTTAGCGGAAAGAGAAAAGCAGCTCAAGACAGAAACGAGCGCCACTCAAAACTATGTTTACTGACACGAAAAGGAAGAGCAAGAAGACAGAATGATCCACCGCAAATACGTGCATCTACCATCAGCCCCATGAATGATAGTGGCTCGCTCATCCAGACTCGTGTGGGGACTTCACTGTCTGTTGAAGGAATTATCTTTCCTTGTTTGATGGCGTCACGGATTCACGGGGCTGGTGGTAGATGCACGTGTCCGCAGTGGAGCATTCTGTCTTCTTCTTTCGCTTTCTTTTAATTTGTCACGTTGTCAAACAAGCCAAGAGAAGTACTTCAACGAGCCTGGATGAACGCGCCACTATCATTTACGGGGCTGGTGGTAGATGCACATGTCCACGGTGGATCATTCTGTCTTCTTTCTCTTCCTTTTCCTGTCAGTAAACATAATTGTGAGTGGCGCTCTTTTCTGTCCTTTTCTTTTGTCTACTTTGTGCGCTAAATACCTCAATATGTTAGACCAGCAACTAGCCTAAATGTCAACTTTACTACAGTATACGGACGTCCTGCGCATGCGGAGGCACCCCCCGCCGCGCGGTGCCTTCGCATACGCATGCCGCGCATACGCATCGCGCATTCGAGGCTAGATTCCGTATCGCTACAACCGGGTGAAGTAGCTTAAGAATGTCATCGTGTTAAAAAATAAACAGAAATATATGCTTTGTTTTAAGTCCTGACGCAGCCAACGCTACGAAACGATGAGATCAATCAAACAGCGTCAAAAGAGCAAAGTCATAGTGTTCGTCACGTTTCTGTACGTGTTCTATCGTAGCTAAACAGGACATGTACAGAGAAGGCCAAGTGACTTGCGCTTTTAGTATGTGCGTTAGTGGTTATGCGTTCGTGCCTCCGACTGCGCTCGGACATTAGATGAAACGAAGTTCTGTGTGGAAATTCTGCCTGTCCTATCTGTTCTGCATGCTCTCCCTTCTCACTGGACACTCGTGTGTGGCTCATGCACGTATTCGCCCCTTTTCTTTCTTTTTTTTCTTTTTTTTGACAACAAACTTAGTGGCGCCTTTTATTGGATAGTCATGGCACACTTCCGGTCAGGGCATATTTTCTCAATTTTCACTCGTCATTCTTTCACCGTAAGAGTGAAATATGTGTAACAGTGGCATAATTCACCACATTCCGAAAATAGCGCGTCGCTTTAATCTCGCAATACTGGGAAACCCGCCGTCTATTTCGGAACCGGAAGTGGTTGAGGGGCTTTTTGCACACTCGCGCCACCACGTTTCAACTCACGCGAGAAAAAGCAACTAAGATAGAGAGAGACACACAGATTATAAAAATGTGAAAAGGTTATTCAAATGTCTTTATAAAATATTCCTTGTAGGAACTAGAGTGCATAAGTTTGGAAAGAAATTAAGTAAGAGGCAGGTGATTGACTTTTTATATCGGACATTAACTTTCATATATCGGAATTAACTTTCTATATCGGACAAGTGTCGTCGACCAATTCCGGAGCATAGTCAGGACTTTTCTTTCTGTTCTGCTTCTCTTTAAAAGGGGGGAAAGGGTTTGGTTGTATACGTTAGGATAGTGCGAACTAAGGTTTAAGACTTTCAAAGTGTCAGGTTTTACGTCTCGTTGTGAGGTGGCTGTCTCTTGCCCTTCGTAATTAGGCGGTCATAAAAACTTCGAATTCAGAAGAGCGACCGAAGAGCGAGCGTCTCCAGCTCGTTCCTCGCCCTCTCGCGGCGGAAACGGGAACCGCTCTAGTGAGGGTCCACCGGTTCAGCTGCACAGAGGGCACGGCGGAACTGCTCGCGTTTATGGCTCGTGAGCAGTCATTTTTTTAATGCAAACAACACTCTTAACTGTCCCAGTGTAGTGCTGCAGCTGGTATGAAATTGTACCTTACTAGATGATTTTAGTACTGCGTGTAAAGTTAAACAAACGCAAGCACCGAGCGTTCGCTTTAGTGTTGCGTGTTCCACGCTGCGCATGGGCGTCATCACCATGCACCAATCTAATAATACCCGTGCCACACGGGCAACTCGAATGCCATTTACAACGAATGACATTTGAGTGGACGGCCAATCAGCGCGCGACAATCCGGGCGTGGCGCATTCCACGCGCGACAGATTGCGAGATTTGCCGATCACACACATGTCATTCGTTGTAAACGGCATTCAAGTTGCCCATGTGTCACTGGTGTAAGACCGCAATTTCGGGCACCGCACACGAGCAGTGCGCAACATGCAGCCCTAACGAAAACACAGAGTTCTTGTGTTCGCTCGTATACGCAATACTAAAACTCACTACTGTTTCACTGGGTTTCCGACGCCAACGAAACGTGCTGCAGTGAGCAGACGTGTAAGCGGGTTGGCGCTCCTCCGAATTAGAAAGGTTGAGATTGGCAAAACGACGGCACGCCAAAATTAAAGAAAATAAATGTTCTGACAAATTTGTAATAAACAAATTAGTTTTTTTTTTTTTTTTTTTTTGTATTTTGGGACGTTTGGTGCGGAAAGATTGGCGGCGAATTAGGAAGTTTGGCCGATTGTCAAAAGTCCCGACTTTGGTAGCACCAAATACTTTACTCACAATTAATGTCATTTTGCATGGATGTCTCAGACGAGCTAGAATGTTTTTATTTATTTTAGACTACTTTTATTTTATAACTTGTTAATTAAAATGCTCAAATTGGCACCAGTGATGACAATTTTCCAACTTCAGATTGCCATAGTGGTTTGCATGTTTTAAATAAGATCATAAGCATCAAATTATATTAAAGCTTGAAAAATACATATTAAAATATCTTAGTTGCATTATAAAAAAAATAATACTAATTGCGGTTATGTATGCCCCTAATAAACACAATCACACAAATACGTCAATTTAAAAATATTAGTCTTGACAGAAAGGTTTCACTTCGTTGTTGTTGTTTTGTTGTTGTTGTTGTTATTTTGGGGGGCATTTAAAAAACTGACATTGTTATCAATATAGACACAAACACTGGATGCAGTATAAGGTCATATGCGTCATGCGTTGCCTTAAAACACACACATACTTCTGTTGCCTAACTCGAATTCCGTTTTGGGATTTTGTGGTGAGAATAGCGTTTCTTAATTTATACGTTTTGTGAACATATTCTAAACAGATCACTTGTGGCAATATTTTGTAAAATTTGAATTGATTTTGTTATTCTTGTGCGGGGAATAAATTCTAAAGCAATTATTCTTCTAAATGACCAAAAACCCACTCAAGAGCTCGCAGTTCATTATTTCACACAATTATCTGAGAGAGAAAAAGCAGCAGGAACACATCAATAACAGCGCTAACTTTTTTAACAAATGCAATGTTCTATTCCACACCTCTAAGGTGTATAAAAGACCCACTCTTTAAACGGACCCTGAACTCTCCAAAATATGTTTAAGTGCCTACATCGGGCATGTATGTTACATGATGAAGTTTCCGGGAACCATTTTTATAGCTTAGTAATTACGCTGTGAGTCACATCTTGATTTAGAAGAGAAACTGAACTTAACACCTATAGCACAAAATTCCATCCGAAATAGAAGTTAGGTTAGGTTTCGTTCCTCAATTTCAACGTGCCTCCTGTCGTGAATATTACGCTAAACCCCGTCTTTGTTTTCA